TCCTTTTCTCTGAATCTTCCACCCTGTTCCCATTCCTCTCCTTGAAAGGTAAGGTAAACATTTTTATTATTTTCTGGTTTAATTTTCTTTATTTTTAAACATCTCTTGCTCCCCCCCCTCTTTCCCACCACCCAAAATGGTAACTTACTTATACCTTCCTTTTATGAGTTAAGGAGTCTTGGTGGGTTAAGTATTGGACTGCTAATTGCAAAGTTTGTAGTTTACTCTATTAACCACTTGATGCGAGAAAAATGGGGCTTTCTATTCTTGTAAGGAGTACAGTCTCAGAAACCTAACAGATTGATATAGATTTGTTGGCATTGGGTGGTTTGTGAGTAATACTTTTGTTAGTTTCAGAAAGTTGTATGCTAGTATTTCTTCAAAATATTGCTTCTAAAATATTTGTGTAAATTCCCATACTTTAATGAATCTATTTATTATAGATAGACATTTCAGTTGATACTTCAGATCATGCAGATTTTAACTGTGTGGCTCAGAGTTGTGTCTTATTGTACATCTCTAAAAAGTAGACTTGTTTGGTCAGAGAATTAACCCATGTAAATTACCCTCCTTAAGCATTACACTATTTTTGTATAACTATCAGCATTGTATGATACATGTATGTCTATTTATGTGGACATTTTAAAAAAATCATTTTATTGAAGGCTCATACAACTCTTTTCACAATCCATACATCCATCGTTTCAAGCACATTTGTACATTTGTTGCCATCATTTTCAAAACATTTTCTTTCTACTTGAGCACTTGGTATCAGCTCATTTTTTCCCCTCCCTCCTTTACCCTCCTTCCCTCCCTCCCTCATGAACCCTTGATAATTTATAAATTATTATTATTTTTTCATGTCTTACACTGACCGATGTCTCCCTTCACCCACTTTTCTGTTGTCTATCTCTCTGGAAGGGGGTTATAAGTAGATCATTGTGATTGGTTCCCCCTTTCTCCCCCCACCTTCTGCTTCCCCTCCTGGTATCGCTACTCTCAATATTGGCCCTAGGGGTGTTTATCTGTCCTGGATTCCTTATGTTTCCAGCTCTTGTCTGTACCCGTGAACATGCTCTGGTCTATCCAGATTTGTAAGGCAGAATTAGGGTCATGATAGTGGGTGGGTGGCGGGGGGCGGGGGGAGGAAGCATTAAAGATCTAGAGGAAAGTTGAATGTTTCAAAGGTGCTGTATTGCACCCTGACTGGCTCGTCTCCTCCGTGACCCATCTGTAAGGAGATGGTTGACACGTTTTGTTTTGTTTTTAATCATTTTATTGGGGGCTCGTACAACTTTTATCACAATGTATGCATACATCCATTGTGTCAAGCACATTTGGACATTTGTTGGGTGGACACGTTTTTAACATCAAATATTGTGAACTTTCATATGATAAAAGTTGTTCTTTTAGCCTGTGGTCTATTGTATCATCAGGGACCCTCTGGACAGCAGATAGTACAGGTAAATTATAATCATTCAAGGAAGGTTTATTTACAGAGCCCAATTGTAAAATTGTGAATGGTAAAGAGGGAATACCTGTGATCGTAGAATGCGATCTGTGGAGCTGTGAGTTCTCCAGCGCCTCGTGGGCCTAGCAGAGTAAGTGGGTTACAGCACTACTCTAGAAGGACAGATTTATCTGTAGAGTTGACGGACTTTGGAGATGTAGTGACCTTAGGTCAAGAGAGAACTAGTCATCCTGAGAATTCAAGGAGAGATTCAGGAATACACAACCCTTTCTTATATTCTGCTTTTCTTCCTTGAAGTCTGTGCTGGGGCAGAGTACAGAGGTTTTTTTGGTTTGTTTGTTTGTTTGCTATTTTTCATATAGGTCCATTTTTCAAGGACAGAGAGCAGAACAACGATGACTATGGGAGTAACAGTCAAGAAACTGAATGTATTTCATTGGGTAATCTCCCGCATAGACCTCTTTAAAGTGTGAAAAATCAAAAAATATTACTTTTAGGACTACAGCGTACCTGACCTGGGCCATGGTAGTTTTAATTAATGTACAATGAGTGAGGAAAGTGGAAGAACTAATTTTGGTGTTGGTGAAGAATATTAAATATGCCCCACACTGAGAGAAGAACACAAGTCTCTCTTAAAAGAAGTACAGCTAGAATGCTAGGATGGTGCTAGATACGAAGCTAGAAGGCTTCATATCACACACTGTGGCTATGTTATCAGGCGGGGCTACATCATCCTCGGGAAAGTTGAACCTCAGTGAAAAATTGGAAGCTCCTCAAGGAGATGAATTGACAAAGTGGCTAGACAATGGACTCGAACATAGTAATGATTGTGAAGATGTCACCAGAACAACAGTTTTTATTCCTTTGTACATGTGGTTTCTGTGAGTCAGAACCAACTTGGCAGTACCTACCACAACTATCACTCGTCTCTACAACTCTGTTATCTCATGGAAAAACAAGAAATAGTGCAGTGTTGTAGGTTATACTGTGTGCCCTATGTGGGATTCAGAATGCATATGCAAGTCGACACCAACTTTCTTAATGACTCCCACTTATAGCAACCTGAAAAAACGGAGTAGGACTGTCTCCTAGGTTGTCTGAGATTGAAAATCTTTATGGAAGCAAACAGCGTTATCTTTCTCCTGCAGCATGACTTGGGTGTTTTTAATAAACTTGTGCTTAGTAGTCCAATGCTTAACCAACGGCACCGCCCGGACTTCTGATACTGAATTTAAACCAAAACCAATTGGGTCCATTCCAATTCAGAGGACAAAGTAGACTTTTTCCAGCTGAATTTTTCTTCTCTTGAGTGGCTGATGGGTTTGACCTGCCAATATTTACAGTTCCTTGTCCTGATGGTGCACAGGGTTAGGAACTACAATCTTATCAATTCCTTTACAAAAAAAATAAAAGAGGATGTTAAAAAAATGACTCTAAGGCAATCAACTTGCTCTAATAGTCATTTAGGTTATGGGAGCAAAGGCTAATATGGGATTCGGTGTACATAATGGTTAAGTTTAACCTGAAAGACTGAAACTCACTGCCATCAAGTTGATGCCAAGCCATAGCGACCCTATAGGACAGTGTAGAACTGCCCCCTGTGGGTTTCCAAGACTGTAACTCTTTATGAGAGTAGAAAGGCCTATTTCTCCTGAAAACTGCCGGTGGTTTGGAACTGCTAACCATGAAGTGACTAACCACAACGCCCCAGGGCTCCATGGTTAAGTGTGGACTCATCATTTACCAGTTTTATGATGTGTAACACGTTAATTCGTTACTCTAAGGCTTTCCTCCCCTTTTGAAATAAATGGGTAGAAAAGTACCATCTGCTTCCTTATAAGTATTACATGTAAAACTTGGCATATAGTAAGTATTGAGAAGATGTTATGTTTTATTATTATTATGGATGTATTTTAATAATTTTAATTAACTAGTATATAGTATCTAGGCTTGACATTTAAGCCATTAAATGAGAGATGCTTGAAGCATGGTTGTAGCAGATAAATGGAAAGGGAGGACAGATAGTAGAAATGTGTATGTCAAATAATGTTATTTAAAATGTATATGACTAAACTTCTGTATAGTTCTCTATGCAGGTTCATTTGTGTGTATTCACATCAGTAGTTAATAATTGACAACTGCAAGCATCTGTATAATTTACAAAGTACTTTGACATATATTGTTGAATTGATAGTCAGAACCTTCCTATATTATTAGTTCCAGTTTATTGAGGCCCAGAGAAGTTAATTAATTGATTAAACATCACATAAGTTAATGAAAAACAACTTGAAGCTTTTGTAGTACACATCTTTCATGCTAGGCAAGCATGGAGCAATCGCTCTGAGTTAGTGCACCCGGTGGTGTTGCCTGAGAAGATTCTCTCTGATCACAGTGATTTTTTTTGTAAAAGCAGTGTCGCTTGAACCTTATTTTTTTGTTATGGTTGATTTAAGAGAATAGTGTGAGGCTGCGAAATTTTGTTTTCTGCTTGTGAAACATGCCACAGAAACTGTTGTGCTGTTGGACACAGCTCACAAGGACAGTGCAAGTGTATGAGTGGTTTTCTTGTTTTAAAAAAATGGAAATGTCTATTGATGACAAACCTTGTTCTGGATGTCTGTCCACTTCCCCAAAGGATGAAAATGTCAACTAGTAGCGCAGTTGGTGTTTGTTTCGCCAGGTCAGACTGTTAGTCAAGCTTTTTATTTAGAGGTTCTGAAAAGATGAATAACAGTGTGCGACAAAATAGGCCTAAATTGTGGCAGACACCGAACTGGTTTTGCCACCACGACAGTGCACCTGCTCATGCAGCCAGCTCAATGTGCCAGTTTTTTTCCCCAAAAATAGCATGCCTCTCTTTTCCCATGCACTTTACTCACCTGACCTCACTCTGTGGGACTTCTTTTTGCTTCCATGAATGCCGAGGGACATAAAAGGACAGTGATTTGATGGCGTAGAACAAGTGAAGAAAAAAAAACGAGGGAGGTGGTACCAGCCATCCAAACAGATGAGTTTGAAAAATGTTTCCAATAATGGAATCACAGATTTGACAAATGTATTAAGTGTAATGGAGAGTACTTTGAAGGTCATAAGGTTGTTTTGTAAAAAAAAATAAATGCATAACTTTGGGGAGGGGAGAAAAAAAATTCCTTTTTTGGGGGAGGTGCAACAATATGAAAAAGCTTCATTACCTTGAACTAGTTAATATCATTTATTAAGTATCTGCCTTAATACCAAGATAAGGAAAGGGACAGAATGGTTCAAAGCGTATTAGTTATCTAATCCATATATATATATGTATATATATATATGCTTACTAATAATCTCTTTTCAGAAGATCAAAAACTGACTATAATTTGCCATATAAAATACCTTTCCCAGAAATTAAAATGATAATTTACCTTATCTGTCCAAAGTGTATTAGTCATTTAGTACATTATGTATGATTATAAAATAATTTATAATAGAGTTATTTCATAAGTGTTTTAAAATAGTATTGATCGTGAAACTTTTTGAAATTTACCATCAGGCCAATGGTGGCAGACTCTACATAGAAGTATGCTTCGTGGTGTTCTGGGAAAAAGTTTTCGACTTGTTGGCTATACTATTCAGTATGGCTGCATAGCTCATTGTGCATTTGAATACGTTGGTGGTGTTGTCATGGTAAGTTTTACATTCAGGAAAAATGATTTTACATATATACTTTTTAAATGGTAGGAAAATACATATTTTTCTTATAGAGTTGAAGATAAAGTATGAAACTTAAAACATAAAATCATTCCAAATTCTGAGATACAAGAAAGTATGTTTGAATTGGCAATGATATAAACGCTAAGCCCCATTATTTTAAATATGGTTCTCTATTTTGATTCTCATCAGGGTATGGAAGACCCTATTAATCATTTAATGAGGAAAATAATTGCTAGCATTTATTGAGTTCTACTTACTCTGTTCAGAATTTGTTTGATGTTTTAATAACTTTCATTAACTCATTTAATCTTATGTACTTAGTGAGATATTAACTCATTTTACATATGAGGAAACTCAGACTCCAAATTGGTGGTAATTTATTTGTGATCCTACAGTTAGTAAATAGCAGACTTTGAATTTCAACACAGATTATCCAGTTTCAAAACTCTTGATATTAACCTTTGTTTTTAATTGTCCATTTCCAAATGTTCTTCATCACTCTAAATAAAAACTTAGTACCACAGTATTACTTATATAGTAACAACTAACCCTCCCTCCAACAAACCATTAATACACTTTGTCTCTGTGCACATGCCTGTTCTAGATATTTTATATACCATATATTCTCGAGTATAAACCAACCCGAATATCAATGGAGGCACCTAATTTTACCACAAAAAAGGTGTGCTGAAAAACTCGGCTTATACACGAGTATATACGGCAAATGGATTTTTGTAAAAGATTAAAAAGTTACTTGATATTTCCAATTGGCTGCAGAGGTTGCAAACATAAAGTCTCATTGTAGGTTCTGATTTAAAGGTTTTATTACACATAGTACTGGAGATTGTCATATTTTGATATTCAGACAGTGATGTTTTTTATTCTAGCTTTGAGATATGGTATATGTGAAGATTATTGTTTTAAGATTTACAAATATGAAAATCTTGAAACTCTTAGTCTATTTCATAAGCTCTAGGTCCATCAAGTGAGTAAACTATTTGTTTGGAATAGGAGGAAAGATATCAACTCATTGGGAAGACTAGGATACCAGTTAATAAGTTAACATCATGAGCACTGGCTGATATTTGACAGTATCAAGGAAGTCATTCATTCATTCAATAGATATTTACTAAATACCAACTTTATTCTAAATACTGTTCTTGAACTTGGTTATACAGCTGGAAACTTGAGACAAGTTCTCTGCCCTCATGGAGCTTACATTCTATAGGGTTGACTAAAATCTGGAATAATTTAAATGATATTTTAGTCCTGTGGTATAATATGAATAAATATATATCCTTGTGTTTCAGGACTTAACTGCTGCCAACTTAACATTAACCATTCCCCAGAGAAACAGCCTTACTATATCATTCTTTAAAGCTGAAGAACATTGGATTTTCTTTCTGCTAAATATTTGTATATTATATATGCTGAATTGAAAAAGATTTTGAAATCAAATTACAAAATTACCTCTCTTTTTAGTGTTCTGGACCATCAATGGAGCCTACAATTCAAAATTCAGATATTGTCTTTGCAGAAAATCTTAGTCGACATTTTTATGGTATTCAAAGGTAAATTTCTATCATAGATACTTTAAATTAGAGTGAAGGTATGCAATACACATTGTGTCTCTTCTGCAATAGCTTAACTTCTATCTTTAAAGTATCTTCATAAACAACCAAATATTTAATCAACAAGATAAAATTTTGAGTCAAATATTTTCTAATTATTTGGTCAGAAGATTTAAGGGAGACAAAATTACCATGGACTTTGTTTCCTTTCAAAGACTCCTAAAGTGCTCATGAATATAGAATATTTCAATCTTTACAAAGTTGTTTGAAACTGACATGTCAGTGTAATTAGCAAGAGTGGATTATCTCATTTCAGAAAAGGGCAAAAGTGAGGGGAATTCAGAAGTTTGTGGAAAAATGGAATAAAAAGTTAAATGGAATTTTCCCGTGAACTTTTGAAGCAGCCTCATATTGCCTCCGAATTATAGACTTGCATGACGTAATAGCCTTCAGCTCGCTCTGATGAAGATTAGTTTCAAAAAGCATTATAAATAATGTTTCTATATTTTCTTTAAAATTGCTGAAGATGGTGTATTTCATTCTCCAATTAATTATTTTTGTAAAATTTTCTGACTTAGTTGCTAGAGAAAATTTGTTTCCCCTTCTAAACACTTATTTTTCCCAACTTGATGATTGCTATCTAATTAATCTAAAATTTAAAAAATTTTAGTATCAAAAGGCCTAGAATATTCACACTTGTATGTAGCAACTACTAGGTTTTCAGTATAACTATAATCTTCCTTTTATTTTCATTTAATGCCTTTGACATTACTTTGGCATTTGCATCTTTTATTACAAATACATAAAATTTCTGGAATTAGGTATGAGTAATATGAAATGCTTTGAAAATAGGTGTCATTAAATAGAATTTAGACTTCTGATTTTGTTCGTTTTATGCAGAAAGAACATCTTGTTCTTTTTTTTCCCAGCATGGGACCTATTTTGTTCCCCTCCACCTTTCCATTTTTATTCCGATCTTTCTTAGATCATTTACTAATTGGATGGTCACTGCTTCTGTGAACCTTGCTTTCCAGATGTAATATGATCCCTAGTGACGTTTTGTTGGATAACAGACTTTATTCATTTTTATAGTATATATTTTAGCAATTTTGGAAACATTTCATTTGGTGTACATTCTAATTTTTCCCTTAAATATAAATTTTCTGACTATAATGTAAATTATGTTGGGTATATAATTTATATCAATATCAATTCCTTGAGCTTTAGGGAAACATAGTTGATGTTCTATCTTCTTATGTGTTCTAGAGTCAGTAAAAGGCTCACAAGTTATATTTATTTGGTTAATTTGTAAATATTTATATGGAATTGTTTCTTCACAATTTGGGTTCTAAAGTTCTGGACATGAAATTAACACATAGTGTGTATAGTTCAAAATATAATTTTTATGGAGTTATAATAAAGTTTAGATTCTTCTAATGTCTTTTCCATTATACTCATTGGAATTTGAACCATCAAATTAGTCAAAAATGCAAGTCATGAAAATGTCCACAAAGATGGTCAGTGCATGGAAAAGGCCATATACAAGAGGCTCAAGGGTGTGGCTTTATTTAAATTGCATTGCAAAAACTATGCATGTGTTTTTGTATGATATGAAATATTGATATTTCTTTGGCTTTTTCCCCCCTCAGAGGTGACATTGTGATTGCAAAAAGTCCAAGTGATCCCAAATCAAATATTTGTAAAAGAGTAATTGGTTTGGAAGGAGACAAAATCCACACCAGTAGTTCATCAGATTTCTTTAAAAGCCATAGTTATGTAAGTAACATTTCAATTAAGTTATGTATTACTATCCTAATTGATTAACACTAATTGAACATCTTGACAAAAGACAATAACTTTATCATAGTTTGAGTACAGAAATTATTGATTCACTAAAACTTTAATATGTTTACAGCAAGAATAACTTGGCCATTATATTTCATGTATTTCAATTCCTTTTAAAACCTATATAAAGTTTGTTTTGGATAAGATTCACTGATGGAAGGATTATTGAACAAAAGTTCATGGGAAAATAGTGTATTTGCTTAATTTCAAAATGTGTCTCCCAAGATATTTATTACAAAGCAAAAAATAGTAACTTTACAGTGAATAATGTAGCAATGCCACCGAAATCAAATTATCAAGGTTAAATTAACCTCATTAATAATACATATCAACATAATGTAGCCCCCGATAGGAAGCACTAAAAAGGGCAGATTATTTCTCTTGTATTCTTGCAAAGAAGGTATAATATCAATCTAGTCATGAGAAAATATTGGACAAATTCAAAAGCAGGGACATAACTACAACGTAACTACATAATGTCTACAATATAACTAACCAGTACTCAACAAAAATACCATGCCATGAAAAGCAAAAAAAGAGTGAGTAATGGTCACAGGTTAGAAGTTAGAACAGATACATGATAAATGTATGCACTCTGGGATTCCAGTTTAGAAATTTGGTCCGACTAGCTAATGGGACCAAATTCATTGAAAAATTGGTGATATCAAATAAAGTCAATAGCTTGGCTTATTTTGTACATATAACAAACGCAGAGTATTTCTTTTTATGGAAAGTTATTAAGCTGTAGTATTTGAATCAGTCAGTAATTGTTCTTGAATAAATTCTATTTAAGGAAAACATTAATTGAATTTTTCATATGTATGCATGGCTATAATACAAGACACTTCCATTTTATTAACGGAATCTTTCATTCAACTTGGTTTTGGCATGTTTATATGTCATACATATATACATACATCACACATGCATAATAATATTGTCCAACACTTATTTTGTGTCTAACAGTCAAAACTCTTTACAAGGGTTGAGTTATAAAATTCTTACAACAGCAGCTCAATGAAGTTGCTAGTAGGGGTATTTTAAAGATGAGAAACTTGAAAACAAGAAGGTTAAATAAAGTTCTCAATTTCAAACAGCTAGTGAAAGAATTGTGACTCATAAACAGGTAACCTGGTTCCAGAATGTATACTCATATACTCATGTATATCCATAGAGAGCTATTATTTACAATTCAGTTTTATCAAATTATACTTCCTGAAAAAAATGTATTTGTCATGACTATTGTAAAAGGAAAAGGACAGTACTGTTTCTGAAAGAGAAACCAGTGATTTTGAGCACTTGTGTTTTCCCTCTCCCTACACTTGTTCTAGCCTGAGTTATTCATACCATAAGAAGAGCTATTACAGAACCACTGTAGCAAATGTGTTCCATTAATCAAGGTGATTTATAACAAAACATTCATCCAAGTTTGGAGCACTCTGAAAAGATATCCAGACTGTCTGCAGGGTCCGCCCCTCTAGGTGTCCCCTTTCAGTTATCTCCAAAGCACACTGGGTACTGTATTTTATGAAATGGGTTTCTTCCCCTTTCCTATGCATCCTCTTAGAAAAACCATGCTGCTTATAAGATGATGACATGGCTGTTTAGATCCTGATTGAGGTGCATAGTAAAGACTACCATTATTAAATGTGTTTTGAATTCCAGGTAAAAAAACATTCTTCTGTTGGGGACTTCAGCAGGCAAAACACCAAAATTGTCATTTGGAACTTAGAATATAGAGTTTAGCATATGAAAGAAATAGCATTGTTCTTAAATTGGCAAAAAAGAATATAAGCAGATCATTGGTTAAGTGATATGGAACCATTTTATTCATTCCAGAGTTCTGAAAGTTTTTGTGGTGAGCATCATTTACAAACCATGATTTATTTTTTACATTAAACATTTGGAAACTAAGTAGTCCCTAACAAAGTGCTGTTTAGTGGATTTTACTCATTCTGATGGTACTGAGGCTAGTAATTCTTTCTTTAGCCTATGGGGGAGGCATTGGCTGCTGGGATATGAGCTTCATTTGCTATTCTTGAAATAAACAAATCTGCTCACCCTCAAAGGTCTTGAATAACTTGGCTTTCTACACTACAGGCACTGCTCAGTTTGGTACTGGAGGTGCTACTTTGCAAAAACAAACAAAAAATATTTGAAAGTAGGAGAATGTACAAATATTGTTAGCTCTGCTTATGGCATCCTTATGCATGCGTAGCAGATGGCAAGGTGATTCTGTGCCATTTTCATGTTTTTGTATGTTTAAGGTTCTTGTGTGTCTGGTTTGTCAATCTGTCTCCCGAAGGGTTTCCCTTGTTATGTCACTCTCTATCAATTGGTCTTTGCTGATGACACATCTGAAGAATAAATGTGTTCAAACATTGCTGTCCTCCCTTCTAAGGAGCATTCTGGCTGTGTTTCTTCTCAGGCTGATTTCTTCATTCTTTGGCAGTCCTTACTGAATATTCTTTTACAACACCACAATTCAAATGCATCTGTTATTCCTTTATTATCCAGGTTTTGCATGCATATGAGGAAATTGAAAAGACCATGGTTTGGGCCAGGTGTACTTTAATCCTCATTGTAATGTCTTTGATTTCTAAGACTTTAAAGTGATACTTTACAACAAATTCATCAACATTCGTTGATCTCCTGGCTAACTTCCATGGACATTAATTGTTGATACAATTAAAATGAAATCAATGCTTTCAATTTTTATCCATTTACTTTTACACTGTGTATGAGTCTAGTGATAAAGCATTTCATGTTATGTTCAGGTATAATCTATACTGAAGACTCTAGTCTTTGACTTTTAATAGTAACTACTCAAATGATCATTATTATAGGCAAGTAAGGTGGTGTTGACTACATAGCAGAGATTATTAATGAGTCTTTCTCCAAGTCTGAGTTCACATTCTTCTTCATATTGTTATATAGCATGAAGAGACAGAGTGAAAGATCACAAGTTTCACACACCTTTTCCAACTTTAAACCACACAATATTCCTTTGTTCTCTTTGAATAATGCATGTTGATCCATGTATAGATTCTGCATGAGCACAATGAAATGTTCTGGAATTCCCATTCTTTGTAAATAGAAACTCACAGAATGTATTAGCATTCTCCTATATTGGTTTCCTCAGCAGACCCAAGGTAAGGTAAATACCTATTAAATTTAGTCTCTATCTCCTTAGGAAACAGGCCCAGGGCTCTGGAAGTACAGTAAAACTTCATTATAAAACTATGAAGAATAAAAACTTTATACTCTTTATAAGGATAACATTTTGTAATAGTTCAGGGCTACAATTTTAATCCATATAGTGAAACTCTGGTACAGCTAGGAATTCTGATATATAGTGAATTTCTATGGACAAACCACTATGCTATAAAATCTTCTAGCTGAATAAGCAAACCCATAAAACTCTCTTGCCACCACATCCTCCTGTAAGGAAGAGTTATGCATATTTACTGACTCCATTTAAGAGTCTCAGATTCTTTCTTGAATTCATTCTAATTAAGCTTTGAGCCCAGCAAGTTATTGAAACTTCTTTTTAAAATCAAGATTGCTATTGATTTCTCTGTTATCAATCTAGTGGTCAATTCTCTCCTAATTTTACTGTATATGTCATTAGTATTTGAAATAGTTCTTAAAAACTACCTTCATTTTTTTTTTGGAGGGTGGGGGTAGAGCAGGCAGAGTGAGTACTCCACTGTTTCTGTTTTCTCTTGTCTACCTGTTTCTAAGTCCACCTCTGCTCTTGTCTTCTCATAACCCTGCTTTCCAAATGTTAGCGTGACTAAGGGTCTTTTAAAAACTTCTCTTGTTTATATATAGTTGCACGTTAAATGACTTCTTCCTGTCTCAGGATTTTAAGTATCTGAGTCTCAAACTTGTATCTGTAAACACCTTGAACGCCAATCTCATATATCTAATTGTTTGCTTACTTTCTCCAGTGTAATGTCTAATGATCACATCAAAGTATTATGTCCTACAGTCCTTATTTTTCTTCACAAAATGGCTGTTTCCACAAACATTCACAGCATAGTAAGATAGTTACATATCTAGGCCATACACTTTGGAGTCATCCCTGATACGCCTGTGCTTCACTCCACATACAGCCCATTATTAAACATGATGATTGTGCCTTCAAATATACTCAGAATAAGACCATTCTTGCTGCCATCACTGCCCATGTCCTGCAAGTTGGGTATCTCTTTTATTGTAAAACTTCTGAACTGCTTTCCCTGCAGTCTTCTTGTCTCTCTACCTCATCCACAACTATTGTCCACACAGTAGATAATGTGATCATTTTAATAATGATCCTTTTTTAAAAAGGAGGTATGCCTCTCTGAGGATCCAAGACTCCGTATCTTAACAGTAATGAAAGTCAAAGGTCTCGTAGTACTTAATTAAGACCTTATGAAAAATCCCTCCCTGAACTACCAGGCAGGTTCTACCACTCATTCTTCACACTGTTCCTCAAACATGCCAAATACGCTTCCATCTCAGTTTCTTTCTATCTCCTGTTGCTTTTGCTTTATTCCTAAGACTCACTGAGGCTTGCTCTCTCCATTCCTTAGTTAGCTACTCTTGTCACCTTATCAAAGAGACCTGTCTCCTCTGGCTGTTATTATTGTTGTTAAGTGCAGGCAAATCAGGCAGGGACCGGTGAGTCTGAGCCTCTAGCCTTGAAGTGAACAGCACCACCAGGGCTCCTTGCAATATTCTCACCAAACCAGAAACCAAACTCACTGCCATCGAGTCCATTCTGACTCAGTGACCCTACGAGACCGTGTCGAGCTGCCCCTGTGCGCTTCCGAGATTGTGAATCTTTCTGAGAGCAGAACGCCTTGTTGTCTGGCAGAGTGGCTAGTAGGTACAAACTACTAACCACGTGGTTAATAGCCCAACTCATAACCCACTACGTCACC